CTTTTGGTTGTGAAGAAAAGCTTGGAAAAAAAAAAATCCCTGAAGGCTCTAAAACTACGATGTAAATCAAGAGTCCAAATGTTATGTATTTTATTTATATCTTGTTATAAAAAAAGACCTTAAGGGCTTTCTGGAGCTTACATTTACCACATGCCAGGATTTCCTAAAATTGTTAGGGAGGCTTTTTTTCTGTCTTTTGTTTTGTATTTTGTATCTATACCACACTAAATACGTGTCTTCTACTATGATTAAAAATCATCAATGGAAGTATTGTGATATTGGAAGCAGGGGTGGTTTTAAGTTCTATTGTTAAGGTCCATGTCAAGCAAACCACCTAAATCTGGCACAGCTATAACCTTAAGAAAACACTGCCTTGTGTTTACATACAAAAGCTGATCTGAGGACAGATTCCTGCAGTTTGTAGCTAACAGTGTTGGAGAGCCAGTTCACGTGTTAGCAATGTGCTTTGAAGTTCTGGAGCCTTTGCTGCTTTCTCTTGCACGGACATCACAAAGTTAGCCGATCAATAGAACGAATCGCTGCAAGGAATTTCACTCTCAATGATTCCTGTGGTGTTCCCAGATTCTCTAAAATACAAATCGTGTTCTGGATGGGGTGTTCCTGGGACCGAGTATGTGGTGGGACCCGAGTCTGTGGCCTCATGATGGGTGCCAGGATGGCAAATCCTTCTGTAAAGCGTTCCTCCATCTCCCATCCGTGCTGTTCCGTGACCTTAATCCTTGCCCTTCAGGTTCTTATTGGTGGCAATAAGGGTATGGAGACTTGCTGATTTTACAGGAAGGTGTCTGGCGTGGTATTTATGAAACATTACAGCCCCTTCTTTTGGCCATTTGAGAGCAGTCCAGCGTCCTTGCTTTTAGGGCAGGCAGAAAGTAGGCCCTGTGAGATGGCCACAGTAAACTCTGTGGAGTGAAAGGTCTCAGGTTTTTTAAATGATACCAGCAAGAGGCTTATGCATTAGAAACAACAGTGCTAAGTGTTGTTGACATTTACAGTGAAGGTTTCCACTCTTCCACATAAATAACAGATAAAAATGATAGAATTCAGACTCAGGCTGGCTCTCACTGTGTGGTCACTGCCCGCCTAATTTCTAACTATTTACTTTTAGTTTTTCCAAATGTCTGAAAATTTCAGGGTCAACCTGAAGTCAAGATGTACTTTAGTTCAGAGAAACCGTGCAGTCCTGAGTTGCTTTTGAATCTTATGCTGTTATACAGAAAAGCTGATAGAATATGTCATGATAACTCAGGATTCTTAGATAAATGTGGTCAACTCCTCCTGTAGATGGGAGGAAAATGTGCAGAGTCCTATGGCTCTGTTTGTATAGTAATAGTGCGTGCACAGTGGTTGATAGACAAATGGGTTAAATAACCTCCCTCGGTCCCCAGTAACCTAAATTCTCCATGACAAGAGAAGAAGTATAATAAACAGAAACTTTAGCTGTGGAAAACTGTCACAGATTGCATGCCCCAGTGATGTGTTCATTATTTAATACTGGGAGAAAGTGGAGGCTTTGGTGACTGTGCGTGCCCTCCAAGGAGCTGCAAGGACACAGCAATGCCCCACTGACTCATTTGGAAGGAACACAAAATGATTCTTACCTGGCTTGGTGCTGGTGGGAGCCCCAGGAAGGTAACTGGGAAACCCTTCTTTTGTACCTTGTCCTCCTTATTTCTTCTTGCCAAGCAGCGCACTCTGCTTCTCAGGGCAGGAGGAAGAAACGCACTTTGCAGGCTGCTATGTAGAGCTGAGGATGGCTTGTGTTATTTTAACTTCTCTTTCTATACAAAAAAAAATTGGCTTAAAAGCCGTGTTTATAGGAAAAATCATACGAATACTAATAATTTGAAGCATTCATGCCCATGTCACTTGTAATATCTAGCTTGTTCTTGTATATGGGATTTTGATCCTGAGAGAAGCCACGCTGAGATGCATTTTGCTTCCAGGAAGTCTAACATTTGTAGCACTAAGGATGGCTATGCTGCCATTGCCCTTTTAACCAGAAATGCCACATTAATGATTCAAGGAATGGAACACATACCTGACGAGGAAGGGTGAAGTAGTTGAGGCTGTTCAGCCTTGAGAAGAGAAGGCTTCAGGGAGACCTGAGATCAGCCTGTCAGTATCTAAAGGAGGGCTGTAAGAAAGAAGGGGACAAACTCTTTAGGAGGATCTGCTGTGAAGGGACAAGGGGAAATAATTTCAAACTAAAAGAAGAGATTTAGATTATATATAAGGAAGAAAGTTTTTACAGTGAGGTTGGTGAGGCTTTGTAACAGGTTGCCCAGAGAGGTGCTGGCTGCCCTGTCCCTGGGTGCACTGAAAGTCAGGCTAGATGGGGCTCTGAGCACCTGATGGAGCTGCAGATGTCTCTGTTCACTGTGGGGGAATGGGACTAGATGACCCTTAGAGGTGCCTTCCAATTCAAACGATCCTATGGTTCTATTATCATTGTTTTCCTACAGGCTGGAGGAAAGGTTTAGTATTGGCAGCGTCTGCCTTGAATTGCACAGAAGGAATAGAAAGAACAGTATGTGTGTAGTGATACTGCTGTTGTGTTTAGTGAGGCATCTGTGAGTTCTACTGGGTCAGAGCTGGCCCTTCTCTGAGCCCCTCTGATCTCTTCACTATGCCCCTCAGTTTTGCTTCTCCAGGCATGCACTGCTGAGACATGTCTGCTGGGCTGGCTGGGGTTCTGCACCAAACAGAAGTAGCTGAAACGTTTCCAGATGGGAAATGTCTCTCAAAGAGTGAGACTTGCCTGAATGGGGATGTGTCTGAGCTAATGAATTCTGTTACACCTCAGCTGGCTGTGTACCTTGGCCCTGGAAGCAGGAGGTGAGTGCACGCATACCTGTTGCTTGTAACAGGAAGAATTTTTATCTTTTATCTTTTGTAGTACTGACAACATGTATACTCAGGCCCCTCCTGGCTCCTCCTTGGTGCACTCATACACCTCGTACACCTGCCAGTGTTCCATTCCTCTCAGGTGCCAACCAGAAGAGAAGATACGCCGGCACCGTGTCTGCATCTGTGCCTTGCTGGCACTGAGGGCATCTGGGCAGCCTTCATGGCTGCCACAAGCCAACGCTCAGCAGTGAAGTACCTTGTTTTGAGTTTCAAACAGCAGTTTTGAATGATAACACTTGTGATTTGTGCATCATCCAAAACTCTTTGGATGTCATTTGTTGTTAGACTGTGGGGTTTGCTGAGGAAGTATCTCGCATTTAGCTATTTTTATCTGAGCTATTTATCTGAATGTCCTATTTTGTTTAGTTTGTTTGTCTTTTCTCACTGGGTGATGGGAATGGGGAACATCCCCATTCCAGATGCTGCCATATCCAGTCCTAAAGTAGTCATATTTAATTCCTGAACATTTGCTATGAAGGCATTTCTAATAAGTTGGCAAGATGAGAAAAACCACATTAGCGGTTCTTGATACAAAGGGTGGCCTCTGAGAAGTGCAGAGTGTTGACCTTTGGGATGGTAGACCAAACCTGGCAGGAAAAAAGCTTGGTAGATGGGAGGTTGCAGCCTTGACTTTGGATCTTTTGATCTCTTTTTTTCTGAGACTGTGGGAAAATAACCACTGTAATGTATACCATGTAGTAAGAGTCAGTGCAAGAGACAGGCCAAGGAGAGGGCTGTGGCGCCGTGCCATTGGAGGTCGTGACAACCTACTGCTGTTGCAGAAGACTTTGGGAAATAGCATTCCTGTTGGAGAGGGAGTTTGTTGTCAATGTCAGAAAGAAATCTTCAAATGCAGGAAAACAAAAACTGTTTCTGTTAGCAAAGGAAGTAACTTTTACCCTACAGATTTTTCTTTCCTTATTCTACTCCTGAATATTGCCTTCTTCTGAAAGTAACCCTGGCTCCCAGCTTGCAGCAGTTGGCAGGGGCTGTCAGTAATGCCGTGGCAGAAATTCACTAAATTGAGAGGAACTGTCTGTGGTTTTCTATTCTTCACCTTTTTATGTCTGTCTTGTGTCTCACCAGTTTCTTGTCAGGCTCCAAGTTGTTTGGCACATAGACTGCCTAAGTCTTACGTGTTTGTCCTACACCCTTGTCCTGCAGTTTCTGCAGATTAATAGAGTGTAACTAGTACATAAGAACAGAAGTCCTTGCTTAAAGGAGATGCCCAAACTGTGCCAAATGCCATGGTCTATCTGGAAAATAATCGTTTATGTTCACTGTAAAAAATCACTTGATGTCAGTCTTTTCAATGGTACTTTGTCATTTTTAATCTTTCAAGAAATGAGACTTATTTACTCCTTTTGTCTAGTTGTTTCCTAAGCATTTTTGAACCAATTGACCGGTAGGGGGAGGATATGAGAGAAATTTGTAGTCTCTTAGGGAAAGTGCAAGGGGACTGATTGTTCACAGCCTTTTCCAGTGTAATTGAAGGTAAGAGAAGCCAGATTCAAAATCAGAAAATGAATGGGTCCCTATGAATTCAGGAGGACTGTGAACTCATAGAAGAGAATTTACTGATGGCTGCCAGATACATAGAACCTATACCTAGCATATGAAATCCCTGATTTGAAAATAATTGTATTTGAGAGAAATACTGCATCTATTTGCTGGCCCTACATTCAGTGCACTGCTCAGCTGTGTAAAAGCTTGAATGAAAGCAAGCATTGACAGTGGCATTGGCTTTGCATGGCTGAAGTGTTTGTGGAACTGCAATTCCAGGGAAGTGGGTGTGAAACCACTGCCTTAAACTGGAGTGTGTCTGTTTCCTGGCACTTTCTCTGTGCAAGTCACTCGTGCATTACATCAAAACTTGGCCCATCATGTCTTCACAGACAGTTTGTGAAGATCATTGTTCAGAGAAAATAGGTACACGCAAGTAAAAGCTGTTGTTCCTGATATGAACCTTGTTTCCTCCAAGTAACTGCTTCAGATGCTTTACATCACTTTGTTTTTCATTTCTGTTAGAACTGAGAACTTCTTCCTAATGCCTTCTTCTTTCTCCCTAGATAATTTGATCAAAGCCATCCTGTCAGCAACCAAAGATTACCGTCTAACTCCAGCTCTTGACAGGTAAGATGAGACCTTTTAGAGTAGTAACCACTGAAGCAGTTATTTTCCATGTCCTAAATAAACTTTGCCCAGAGATTGGCTGTGCTTTGGAGGTGGATCAGGAGCTGGAAGCAGTACTTTTTCCAGTAAACTGTAAACTGTGAGAGGCCTTTTAAGTCAAACACAAGTGGGAAAAAGCCTTTACCTTTTGACTGTTTCCTAATCTTTTGTTTCCTATGGTGTCACAATACACTCTCTTGACTATTTTTCAAATAAGTAAATAGCAAGTTTTCTATAAACACATTATTCTTTTTCAGCCTTGCTGACAAAGCAATAGGATCACAAGAACCTCTTAGAGGGAAAGAAGGATCTGGCTTGTTTTAACAAAATGTTTCAAGAATTCCTTACTCTTAAGGCAGGAATGTGTGATTGTCCAAGCCTGTGCCAGGATGCGATAGCAGTACTCCAGGGTCCTGAGGTATTTGGATTGATGCCTTTGCAAGAAGTTCCTTTGATTCTTCAGTCCTATGGTAGAGCTTGCTTCTGAGACTGACATGTTTATGATCAACTTCCCAGCATTATTCCTGTAGTCTTTCCTATTCTTGTTTTTTCTGTCATTCCTTTTCTTTGCCCTGCAGTTTTGGTCTAGTGCTAAATCCTGGGTTGGAGATACTTTCTTTCAGAAGCTGTCATAGGTTTTCACTGGGGCACAGTCTCTTTTGAAACTCCTGTAGTGCTCTGTTCCAAGTAGCAGTGCTTCCTTGAACCCAGTCTAACAGCGCAGCTCCTGCTTTCTAAACACACTCGTTTTATTTCCTGGCCCAGCAGCCTTTCTCCCAGTGTGACAAAGTTCATGAGTTTCTCCAGCTTTTCCACAGCTCTCATGTGGACTGTAGATCTTGCCAAATGTAGTTATGGTTGGGAGTTCATCTTTGTATTGAAAGTTTATTCTATTATTTGCAGTCCCTCTGCTAATTTAGGTTGCTTTGAAGTTTGCCAAATGAAGATTTGGGTATGCTTCCCAAAATGTTCTGCTGGTGTGATCATTAATGAATTTACAGTCCTGGCAGCAAGGAGCATCTGCTATTTTGGATTTCAGAAGCGTTGATGGAGCTACTGTTGAGGGAAGACTAGCTGCTTTTTCATCTTATCTCAAGGTCAAAACAGAGCCAACAGTTTCTTTCTGACACAGCTTCACTGTGCAGGGAGCAGGAGCCTGAGGTTTGGGTCGCTTCCTTACTGCTCACCATTCAAGGAGAAAGTCTCCATCTTCACCCTTTACTCTTCTCTTTGCAGCAACTGGAACAGGCCTGATTTATGGGCTGAAAAAATGCTCTGTTGTGACAGAGCTGGGTAACAGATAATAGAATCATAGATTAACAAATGCTACAAAGATCTTTGTGTCCAATACCACTAGATGTATCTAGTCTGTGATGTACAAGGGGTCAAATCTTTCAAGTCCCTCCACATGTAGGCTTTCTGGAGCTTAGTAAGGTGATTCTGGGAGTAGGGAAGATGCTCCAAGTTCACCTTCTCTTTAGAATGGGGTTGCATTAACATTTTCTCTGTTGGCAAAGACAGTACAAGAAGCTATCTTTCCTTCTGTGACCTGCTCTGTTGTTCCCTTCTCTCTCCTTGTACTGCTGATGTTTAGAATAGAGTAGTTCTGTTGCAAGCAACCTACAAAGATCATTGAGTTCACCTGCCTGAGCCCTTCATGGCTAACTGAAAGTTGAAGCATGTTATTAAGGGCATTATGCGAATGCTTCTTGAACAGATAAGCACAGGACATCAACCACCTTGCTAGGAAGTCTGCTCCAGTGTCTGACCACTCTCCCAGTAAGTATTGTTATCCTAATACCTAGGCTGAGGGCAGGCTTTAAAGTAAGTTTTTCTCTTAACCTAGGTCATTTTAGTCACCTCATTTGCAGAGCTTCCCTCCCACTGAACAGTTGTTCAGGCACAGCTCTGGAGCAGCAGCACGAGAGGCAGAGGAGTAGGGATGGGTGGGGAGGGTGAGCGCATCTGAACCTATTGAAACAAGCATTCATGTAACCACATGCTTTCCCAGGGGAAGGGTGGGAGAGGCAGGGGAGATGAGGTCAGAGCAGTGCGTGAGAGCATAGGAAGGAAAGAGGGGATTAGGGCTGTGCGGTGGGGGATCTACACCAAGCCTGCAGTCTTGTCCCCACCCAAGCTTCTCCATTTCTGTCCCCCTTCACAAAAAATATCCCTTTGAGATGTTAACTTCACATATGTCCTAGAAGCCCTGAAAGTGAACTTGTTTGTTTGACTATCCCTGTGTCAAAAGGGCATCCTGATGTACCTTTCTGACACAATGTACTCGACTTGGTGCTGAAATGAGGCAAACTCAATCCTTCCGGGTATGCGTACACCTTTCATCATCCCAGAGCAGCTTTGTCAACTCACTCCAACTAATCCCTCCATTGTGAGCAGAGGGTTTTGTTAACAACTTGCAGCAGCTGGAGGGCATGTGAACAAATGCTATAGTTCACTTCTGTAACAGTGCAAGTGATGTCCTGCTTTCTTAGTTGTTCTCCATGTCATCCTTATTATGGCACCTTTGTGTTGTAGAGCTTTTGATGTCATGCTTCTACTCCAGGGCAGGAGGTAGGTAAAGTTGCAGTTGTCTCTGCGATGGTAGTTGGAACTCTGCTCTGAGTTTTCCTGGGGAAAATTTGAGTTTATAACACAGTATTTACCAATGCAGTATATGAAGTAACGAGGAAGGAACTTGATGGAGCAGAAGTGCCTGTGTCCCTCCAGGCTGATAGCACTGGTAGAAGAAGCAGCAGCCGGATCAGACAGGCATATGCTAAGCCTCCCTAAGCACCAGTTGCCCTCAAGATGTTTTTGTTTGGTTGTTTTTTTTAAATTACTGTTACATCTTTCCTCAAAGCATTTGGTTCCAAAGTTGCGTAGAGGAAGGCTTTGTGGTCTTTTTCCTTTTACAAATCCCTGAAGTGCTCTGACAAGGGAGGAAGGGGAGGCAGGAATGGTTACGATGCATGCATGCGCTTACAGTACTGTATTGTTCCAGAATGTTGACGTGAATCCTAGTCTTGGTATAGATGAACTCAAGCTCTGAGCACATGTGTCAGAGGCTGCACATCTGGCTTCAGCTCGCAGCTTGGGGCTTTAGGGAATGCCTTTCTGCTCTAGAAAGTCCATGACCCTCCTTCATACCACCCGGGTAGCAAATTGGAATAGGGGCTCCATTTGATGATTCAGTACATGAGCTGTTCTGGAAAAGGCATATGGGATGGACATGATATGTGAGCAAACCAAAAGGTGTTTGCACACCTTTTTAGGAAAACCATTGAGCTATGTAACTGATGCTGCCTGCACTGTGTGTTTCTTTAGCCAGAGACTTGCCTGGAACCAGCAGTTCAGCTGCACTGATGCAAAGTGTCCAAACTACTGGTCAGAATGTGGGGTCAGGTGCCCGACACTTCCCTGCCCAAGGCTTCTCTCTCACAATGCCACTAGGGTGGCATTATAATCTTCTCACTGTCCTACAAGATGGCTGGCATTGCAGGGAAAGTGTGGAAAACACTTCTCAAAAAAAAAAAAAAGAAAAGCCATTAGGAGATCAAAGACTAAACCTTCGGTTCTAGGGGGAGAGCGATGAATAAAGAGAGAATGATGTCCTGTACTGCAGTGACAATGAAATATGTTCTATACTTTCAGTTAGTAACTGTGAAGGTGTTAATTGGCAATTATGTCTTTTTAAATCAGTAAGCCCTGGATAGTGTTTAAAGAGTTAAATGAGGCGTTCTCTTCATTATTACTGTTTGCTTTTTAACCCCTCTTGGAATGTTGAGTAGGACAGCAAATGTAAGAGATATGGGGTGACAGTATGTTGATGAGCTTGGTTTTGTAGGAAAAATGCTGGCAAGTTTGATCTAGACCAGAGCTAGGCTGGCAGCATAATTGATGTCGGTTATCTTGGGTTTTGTGGAAATAAAACCTTTTCATGTAAGTGGGATATTTTTTAGATAAGTTGGAAGCTAGATAAAGGTAACCTTTGTAAAGACAGGCATTAGTTATTTATCTCTGTCCAGCATTATGTTCCATGCAATGTCTTTGTAGATCTATCAGCTTTCTAGGAATGGAATATGACACACAGCTTCTAAAAGTCACTGTCAGGGCTGAGAATTAATTTGTTAGTGAACTTCCCATGCAAGTCTGCTGGCAGGTATTCCCAGTGCCTAAGGCTGATCTGGAGGAAACGTGAAATTGCACTAAACATCTGCTGCAGCCAAAAAGTGGGGTTGTGAGGAATAGGAGGAGTGAGTGAGACTCGACCTTCCTGTAGAGCTCTCTTTTGAGCAGTGCTCCTTTACTGGAGCCAAACCAAAAATCAGGCATTGCAGAGGTGACGACGCAGAGTCTGCTTGCAAGATGAGAATTGTGTTCCGCCAACCAGTGACTATAAAAGGAACACTGAAACAATGTACATATACATAAAATCTCTGTACAAAAGGGATGTTTTTGAGCAGCGTTAGCTCCGCATGCTGGTGTTCCAGAGTCAGTGCTTCAGAGGTCTGGGGAGAAGCTGAAAGCAGTTCGGAAAGGTAGTGCAAATGTGACTCAAGATCTAGGAGAGCTGCCATAGCATGAAGCATGTGACGAACTTGGTTCAGTTTGTATGGTCAAGAGAAAATTAAGGATGGGCTTTGATCAGTCTACAAGTGCAGTGTGGGAACGGGGCCATAACGAGAGGCTGCTCGGACAGCTTTGGCTGATGGAACTGGTGCTTCCCTCGTGTGTAGCTAATGCTCACCAGTCCGACCCAGGGCTGCTAATCCACCTCCAGGCAGTTGTTTACACACAGCAGTCTGTCAGGAAGAGCATCACGTGCACATGTGGAAGGGGCTGCTGACAGTAGATGGTGCTTTAATTTAGCAAACGTGGGAAGGATGTGCTCATGTAGTTTGAGGCTGGAACAAACACATCTGTATCCGAAATTGGTGAAAGCAAGTGGGTAGAGGGGAGCGTGTGTAACTTGTAGCTTTTAGATTTTAGCATGGTATTTTTCATGAAAAACTAAAAATAAGACGAGTCATGGCTTGGAGACAGCTGGGGAAAGAAGTTACTGTATTTCACTCAGTGCTCTGTTGGTCAGGAGGAGAAACTTCCTTATCATAATCATCCAACATGCTTTTTCTTATCTGAAAGTTTACCCCTCCAGAACCAAGCTGTTTTTGTTTTCCCTCTTGGACCATCTTTTCCTTACAGGTTGTGACAAAAATGTTCCCTTTGTCACGTAAGTGCCTGTTGTTGGGACAGGCTCATTCTCTTGCTTCCCTGCCACAATATGCCTCCTGAACCAGACCTTGCTCCTGCTTTCTCTTCATCACCAGAACTATGCCAGTATCTGTAAAATTCTTCCTCTGCTGTTGGATTTGATCATCACAAACATCTCCACTTCCTTGGCCCTTAGGGACACAGGCGTGCGTCTGTCTTCTTGAGGAAGTGTTTTCTCTGGGAAAGACAGCTGTTCCTGAGTGCTTTCTGGGTGCTGCGCTGTTAATTGTGTGCAGATCTCCAGCTAATGGCTGTCAGCAGGGTAACCCTCAGTGGTTTGCTGAATCTTTCAAGTGCTCTCCAGCCCCGCTCTGCTGAGACAGACCCCACATCAGCAGAGCTTTCCTCATGCTGACTCTTCAGACACATCTCAGTGGGGCCAGGAGACAGCCTGGAGGAGACCATTCAGCTGTGCCTGGGGTAGGACGGCCCCCCAGCAGAGATCTGCTCTAAGCAACTGATTGCCTTGGACCCTTTCCTAAGAAGGTTGTGCAGACACGTATTCCTGCAGTGAACTACCAGAGCTGGAGGCGCGGTGCCAGAAGAGCCAGCTGTGTTTGGGATTAGATGGCTGGAAAGAAGTCTTCTCCCTGTCTTCAGAACGAAATCACTTTATAACATCTGCCGCAGAGTTCTTGTGACTCATGGTTCCACGAGAAATCGTTCTCTTCCTTCTCTTTCTGTGTCTCAATTAATTAAGGTTATTTTCCTTCCCGTTCTGTATGCGTTTCTTCCTGGGGAGAGGACGTGGGCAGGTCCTTTTTCTGTCCATTAGTGTTTTTCCATTGCTTGAAGTTCTCATGAGAACAGTGACAAAAAAAGCACTCAGCAAGGTGAGCACAGCCCAGATAACCTGACAAGGATTAGCTAGGAAGAGGACTTCCTCACCGAGCCTTTGCCTTATTGTTTTTTCAGTGCTAAGTGAATAATGAGGAGGTTTAACTAAACAGATGGGTTAGATTCAAGCCAATCTACCAGGGGTTTTGGGGAGAAGACATGCTTGTCCCAATGGCCCATCTCATCAGACCACACTTGGGGGGGAAGTGTTGAAAGCAGTTTATCACGTGTAATGCTTGGGCTTGATGGGGTGAGATAGGGATCGAATGTATCCCTGTCCTCTCCTTAATCCTTCATATTCCAAAAAGTTTCCTGGAGTTCTCAGATAGATGCAAACTAAATATATGCAGCTCTGTGTTTGAAGTCATGCTATAAAAGTCATCTCTTCCCTCTGTGCTTCCTCCACAGTCTCAGCTGCCGACGATGTATTATTGTGGGAAATGGTGGAGTACTTGCCAATAAGTCATTGGGGTTAAAAATTGATGACTATGATGTCGTTGTCAGGTGAGTCTGTGGCATCACGGTTTTCTTGTCACGTATATAGTTCCTCTATCAGTTGATATGCTATGCAGGTGAAGGTCTAACCTGCACTAGAGGCAAGATCCAATGGTGTAAAAGTATTAACTGACATGAGGAAAATAGAAGACATAAACGTTTAAGTTACAAAGCATAGAATCATAGAATTGTTTGTGTTGGAAAAGACCCCAAAGGGTTGAATGGTCCAAATTCACTGCAGTGAACAGGAACACCCACAGCTTCATGAGGTGCTCCGAGTCCCGTCCAGCCTGACCTTGAATGTCTTTTGGGATGGGGCACCCACCACCTCTCCAGGCAACCTGCGCCAGTGCCTCACAGTTAGGAGGGGAAGAACTAGGAACTGTGCAACATAGCATCTCGGGACACAGTAAACAAGTGAGGACCCAGTAATGGTGCAACAGGAGTAGATGTGCCTTGGAAGCTGTGAATGCTTTGCCTCTGTTTCACTGTGGGTAATGATGTTGAACAAGGGAGCAGAAGCAGAGTGGCATCAAGTAGAGACGACTGCAGTCAGAATTAGGACTTTTTTCTTTTGCTGAGAACTTGGGTCACCACCTGAAAAACGTGCTGATATGGGAAATCGTAGGTCTGGTCGTAACTCATAGTAATTAATCTGTCAGGTCAGGGAGGTGTTCTGGGTGACTGGAGATTAGCAAACATAATACCTGTACTAATGGAGAGTGAGAGAGTGTGTGTGTGGGAGGGAGGGGGATGCACTCTGGGGAGCTGCAGACCCATTTGTCTGACTGGGGAAAAGCACAGAGCTTTAGAGCAGGTTCTGAAGTGTGAGTAACCAAATATTATGATGGAAAGTAGGAAAAGTGGGATAAACTGCAGTGTGAGTTTATAAAAGGAGGTTTAACTTAATCTAAGGTGGTGTCATTTTTCCTTAGTAAGATAACCGATTTCATATCAAAGGGAATGTAACTGATCTCAGAACTTTAGACAACCATGAGATGTGGTGAATGGCAAATTCTTAGCTAAGGTGGAAGAAAGAAAATGATTACTAAAAGAATTTAAGGCAAAGAAGTAATTTTGCACGGTGCATGTGAGGAATGAATAGAACATAGTATAATAAATACCTGCTCGACTCTGGACAAAAACCAAGAAGGTCCTTTTCAGTCCTTTGTTCCTGTGAACCGTTGTTTTCCCAGCATTGCTGTGCACAGGCCGAGTGCTGCTCAGAACAGGACAGAACTTTCACAGCCTCAGTTCACTCTGCTATTTGTGGCTATCAAAGAGCTTGTACTGCTCGTCATAGTCTGGTGACTTGCAGTGATTTGAGCTGAATTAATGTTCAGTTACAGCCCCTTCTTGCGCTCAGGCTGTTCACAAAGTAACAAGAGAACAGTTTCAACCCGTCTCTACCGGGCCACCCACTAGAATTTATATCTACTGTTTAATTTCAAAATGAGAAGTTCAACCCTTTCTCCCATGTCAATAAATCTGAGTATTTGCAAGCTGAGAGGATAAGAGGGCTGCTGAGCACCTGTACTGGTTGCAGGTTGGATAAAGGAGAGAAAAGTCAACTATGAAGGTTAAATGAAGCCAGGTGGCTGGAAGTGGGACTGGAGGAGGTGAGAGCAGACTTCTTCTTAAACTTATCCTCCTGCTTTCCTTGCTCCTGAGTGCAAGGAAGCCCTTTCTGTACAGCATCCTTTTTTTATGGGTTGCAAAGCTCCTTTGAAGAACCAGATTTTGGAACCCAGGAGGTGAATTTTGAGGGGAAAAAAACGTAATGCCTTTATGGACAAAGGAGTGATCCAGCAGTGTATGGAGATTCGTGATGCATTGCATGTTACCACGTGAGGAGCACTAGTTGCAGCAAGAATTTTTTTATCTGGTGGTAAAGAGAATCAAATCAGCGTTGACAGTTCTAGAACAGCTTGAGGTGAGTTTCTTGCTGCTTTACTGATGAAGTGTTACAGTGTAGATATTACCCCCAGCTGTTTTACCTGGCAAGAGCTTCTTGCAGCACTTACCAGTGCTCTGATGTGTTGAGATGCCTCCTCACAATAGACTGCAGAGGAGAAAAACAAGTGTCTCTCAGCAACCTGTGACTGAGATTCACCTCATGGTGATGCATAGTGATGTTGGTGCCTCCGTTAGTCTCTGAGCCAGAATTTTTCTTGCTCAATTGCCAGTTCTGCCCCAGGGGCATGGACCCTGTGTGATGGTGCCGGCTCATTAGCAGGGCTCAGTGCTAAGCTTCCATCAGCAACTCACCTTCTGGCCCATTGCTGGAGTTCATTTTACTTGGGGGAAATGGTTTGTTTTGTTTCCTGTCTAGATACAATGTAGGGGTTCTGAGTTTGGGGAGATTTAGCAAGGCTAGCAGCAAAACAGCTAACCCTCCTTAGTTCTGAACTGAATTTCAGATTTTATGTAAGGATCTTCCTCCACTAAAATGTTTCCCACCTAAAATGCTTATCCGGGCTGAAAAAGACAAATCCAGATCCTCGTTAACATTCCTACATGAGAAAATCCGCAGTCCGTAAGCACTTTCCAGTGTACCGAACTACCCCAAGTCAAGAAAGCTGTAATAATTCAAGCAGGCAGCGCTATCCCATCAGGGGCTGCTGTTTGATGTCAGCATGATTTGCTTTCCAAAATGCTTGAAATGTCCTCAGCTTTGGGCTTCTGGTGTTGAATGGGCTGGTTGGCACGCACAGAGGAGTGCTGTACAGCAGCAGCATCTCCTCCGAGTTGCTGAGAGCAGGGTGCTGCTGCACCTTACCCCAAGCACAGCCCTGCTTCTTCCTTCTGCTGGCGTTGCAGGGCACTTTGCCTTATGCATGGGGAATTAAACCAGCCAGATATTGTTCCTCCTTTTGAAAAGCATCACCTAGCTGAGTTCCCTGCCTAGTCTTGCTGCAGATGGGATGAGCACACGCTCTGCACTGGAGTAGAAGTATGAGATCGATTTGTTGTCTTAAAGTTCCAGAGAGCTGCAGCCTGTTTCAGCTCAGCTTCCAATCCAATTTAAATCACATGAGTGGATGTGCGAAAGTGATTTACATTGTATTAAATCAAGTAATTTAATAGCTTTTAGTTAAGCCGTTGCCAGTTGGTGTAAAGTTGTATAAATGTTTACAGCAAAGAACTGCAGGAGCCATGGCAGCTATGTGCATCATCGATGTGTGTTGTGTGTGATGGGGATCTGTGACAGCATCTTCTATGCTTCCCTCCAGGCTGAACTCGGCTCCAGTGAAGGGGTTTGAAAAAGATGTGGGTGGCAAAACAACTCTCCGGATCACATATCCTGAAGGTGCAATCCAGAAAATGGAGCAGTATGAGAAGGATTCCCTGTTTGTTCTGGCGGGATTCAAATGGCAGGATTTCAAGTGGCTGAAGTACATTGTTTACAAGGAGAAAGTGGTAAGAGCACTGGTAGCTGACACTGGGGAGGTCACCTAATGAGAAATGCTGGGCAGATGTTATATCCCAATCATATGTGCCATGTTTTGCTCTGAGGAGGTTTCCTCAGCGTGCCTTCCCAGATTTACATCCATGGACTTTGGTTTTAATTAAGTATGTTTTACAAATACATCTACTCTCTGTAACCTGAGCTTGCATTGCAGATGAGATTTTCCATTAAGTAGTATGCAGCGTGTGGTATGAACAATGAATTGAGCTTTTATTTTAAAGAGTACATGAAAGGAACAGCTTTTGCATGGATTTGGTAGCAATGGCAATGGGAGGACGGTTGGACTAGATGATCTTCTAGGTCCTTTCCAAGCTTGTGATTCTATGATTCAATGATTTTTTGCACCCGTAGGATTTAAGAGCAGAGGAAGGAAGAAAAAAATGACAACAGAAGGAAATGAGCTTTTGGGTGTAAGAGTGTGATGGCAGTGAATGGGTGGAGGAGGCAGCAACAGCACGATGTGTTGAAAAGGCTACAATCCATGGGTGTGATATGATCTCCTGAATAGCACCAGCCATTATGCATTGCTAACTTGCTGCTAACTGAGATTCGTAATTTTGGTTTGCCTAACATAACCATCTAGAAGAACAATATCACATTTGTTTTAAAACCACTGAAATGGAGAAGACGTTGTTTCCCCTATGTAAATATTTTGACCCCATCAGTTGCATTAGTGCCCTTCTCTAGTGCCATAGGCCTGTTACTTGTTGGTGCTGTTCTCCATAATTCTCCCATCTAAAGTGGAATCAGGTTGTGTTGACTGGCTTCTCCTTCTGTGGGTGGCTTCTCTGTACCTGTTGTTATGAAGTCCAGAATAAGTCGCTTCTATTTGGCCATAATTCTTCTTCTACAAACTGTATTTCTCTATTTTCACATGTTCTTTAATGACTTCTCAACAAATAACCAAACCATCAGTGTTTGGAGGATGTTATATTGTGTGTTTAGAGATAAAGAGAGGAGCTTGGCGGCTCACCTTATGCAGAATGAAAACAGTTTGGGAAAACAGTTTTATTTAGCTCTCACTATTGTCTCACACTGGCACCAATTATTTTTCTATTACCAGGCAGGAGAAGTTACCTGTTAGCCTGTGGGCAAGCACCAGTGGGATTTGGTAGCATGAATAATTGAGTCAAAAGTTTTCTTTGTGGTTTGTGTCATGCTCTTGTTCTTCATTCTAGGCAAAGGAAGGATTTTAATACCTTGATGGCATCAGTGCTCTGTTGCCTGAATGCACCATTAGGGATCTATAGTTCTAAAGGTGGTTTAGTTTGCTTCAAATCCAATTGAATTTCCATGTGATGCCTGTAGTCATGGAGCACTGATTGTGAAACTGTGTCCCTGGTTCTGAAGAGAGATGGTGAGCAATTCATTAGAACTGGCAGGGTGATTGCAGTCATCTTCTTTGAATGCTGCAGCACTCAGTTTGTCCCACAGGAGAAAGAGCTTGAGCTTCTTGCACTGTTGGTTACTCTTGGAGTTGGCTCATTATCATTCTGTCTTTGGAATAAACTCCACTCTTCTTTCAGTTCTTGTAGTGGTATTTCCCACGTCTCTTACTTTCTATTGTTCTTTCGAAAGTCTGTAGTTGATTCATATTTTCCTTGAAGAGCAGTGTCAAAAAAGTATGAAGAACATCAACTGGAGAGGAGCAAACAACTGTTTAATCAGCCTTGCACTCCTTGCTATACTATACATCGCTTGCTGTGTCTGCTTGGCCAGCATGGCACAGGGCAGCCAGTGAGTGTCCTGGTGTTTGGGTGAGCCAAAGAGCAGCCACCTCCCAGCTCCAGGGCTCTGTAGTTGGTTCTTCTTGCCAAAAGAGGCAGTGCTGTGCAGTTGTTCCTATTGATTCTTTCTTCCAGAGCGCTTCTCCAGTTAGCCAAGTTCCTTTGGCAGAGCTTTCCTGCATACCTGCCATTCTTTCCAAATTCATGTCTTCTGCAATTTAATAAACATACTTTTTGCTCCATCGTCCAGGTTGGCAATAAAAACACTAAACAGAGTTGGTTCCTAGGCAGACCCCAGTCCAATGTGTCTTTCATTTCACTGAAAACTCCTTCTGAATAGCTGTTTTTATGGCCACTTCTGAGCTCATATCACAGTAGTGTTGTTAATAAAGAAACGTTTGTAGCGTCTTTGTGGAGGAGAGACATCAGAGGTGTTACTGAATTCCTGTTCATGCCTTGCTTCTGCCCTATGGTAGTTCTTTTACTGTAGGAAGAAATAATGTTTTGTTATAAGTAATGATTTGGTTTTGACAAATCCACCTGAATTACCGCACATCTTTCTTTTGGGTGTTTTTTTCATCTTTGTTTTTTTTTTAAATAATTAATCTTGTTATTCTGAGAAATGCAATCATAAACTGAGTCCCTTCCCTTTTTTGCCTCCTTAGGGACAGGAACTACTTCTGTCCTCTTTTCAGCTGTCTGACACTCCACCTGTTCCACCAAGTTCCCAAAGGGAATCGTTACTGTTTTTGAGGCCACTGGGTGACCAGTTCATTGAATAGTCCAGGACAGAGTCCGGGTGACTGGAAAACATCTGTCTTGTCCTCCCTGGTCTGCTCTCTCTGTGTTTGAGCTGTGATCATGCTGTCGCTGGCTCTGGCTGCGAGCAGGTGGTTTCACAGCTGTGTCTTCCAATGGAGACTAATGCAGAAAGAGCTGTGTCTGCTGGCTGGGAGGAATGGCCCAGCGGAGAGCTGTCAGTGCTGTGGGAATAAGGCGTGGGTGTCTGTTTGTTCTGGTAGTGATCGTTGGTATTTTTATCAGTGGCAAGTTCAAAAAGACAGACACTTGCCCCACAGTTTCTGTGGAGCATTTCTGTTTCTCTCTTGGCTGATCATCTGGAGAAAAGGGAGATTCTCCCTTTCTTGGGTTCGTAGAGGTACTCTGTCCACCTGCTGCTTATTACTTATTTGAGATTAAGCCTGTCCCTCTGCAAAGCAGTGCTTACAGTCAGGAGTCTGACCTCAGGACAGAGATAAGGGAGATGGAAGCATCCTGCCAAAGAACGTGACTGTTGTGGAAATGGACACAATCCTTCAAAAAATGGGCCAAACTCAAACTTCTGATGTTTCCTTTGTCTCTGAATTTTGGTGGCAACTACATATATCCACGGCACGGTCATGATAAGGTATGAGACTTCCTGATTTCCTCCAGGTGTAATCAGCCCCAGAGCTGCTTGGAGTTGTGTGACTGGATGTTCTGGGCCAGGTACCGTCATCCTTGCATGGTTCTCTCAAGCAAGTGAAGTCAAAGGGAGTTTATCTGTGAAAGAGTAAATGAGAGACGAGTGGCTATTTATTACCAGGGTCAGTGGTTGGATTAACTTATTCTCCATGCAGCTGAGAAGGATTTATTGTGTGTTATGTTAGTCTTCGCACAACGCTTGCACGCTGAGAAAGGGATAAGTACTTTATGCTGTAGAGAGAAGGATTTTCAGGAGATGTTAGGAGGAAAGAATCAGTGTGATGAAATAGCAGCATCAGAACAGTGAGACAGAGGATAAAGGAGAAAATAATGGCATGTATAGTGAGTAAATGGAGAAGAAGGGGTATGGGATGGAGCAAGGTGACATGTTTAGCAGAAGGGAGTATTGCGCCATGTTGACCCAGTGTGTAGGTGTGTACAGGTGGGAAGGAAGCAGACTGGAGCCCCACAGCTTTTATGTTTATTGCAGAAGGATCACAGGTGTGAGTTGTTCATGCAACTTTGGACTGCAGTGCTGACTTGCAGTCTCTGCTGACGCTCCTAGGCACCTTCCTTCAATGAAGAGCTGCTGCCGTGCATCCCCAGTGGTGGATTACTCATGGACAGTCACTCAGAACTTTCTCCTGGCTGATTTTTGGCCAAAGGATGTTACCCACACATATCATGATTCACCTGGTTCCTTACCACTGCTGCACCACCTTGCATCACCTGTGTCTGTCCATCACAGAAGCTCATTCTGAAGCTCATCTAGAGTATCGGGGGAATTAGAAGAGATTTTTCTATGTGGTTCCCTTCTCTATTCTGCTGGAGAAGAATTAAATACCGTTGCATTCAGGGTGGTAGATGCTGTGTGAAACAGAGGAATTTACAAGCAGCAATTATGCAAACCAGCCATCACAGACTGGCACGGCGGCTGCTTCCAGAGTGCTTTTTTGCCATCATTAGTGAGTCAGAAAGAGCTCTTTTGTTTGCTTAGGGCTCAGTTCCCTGAACATCTGGCACACGGTGGTGAAACAGCCAAGTGAGGGCAAAGGTTTCACTAGCAATTGGCAGCCCACAAGCTTCCTTCTCGTGCAGTAATGAGCCCGTGGCTGCTTTCAGCAGGAATCTCTGCAGCCCTTGCCAGGAGGAGTCCCGTGTATAGTAAGCAGTGGCAGCACCTTGAAGCACTTTGGTAGTGAAAGTCATGGAAGCAAGTGAGCAACTGCCTGCCAGCAAGGCCAAAGTGTGGCTGTCCCCTTCAGGGGTGTGCCTCTGAATCCTGCACCCTGCAGCAGTGCCACCCGAAAAGCAGCCAAGATGCAGCAGTGGGCAGGAGATAAGCCTTCTGTTTGCGAGGGCATTGCCTTCTTGCTCTCCTTGGACTCTGATAGAAGAGGACAGAAGCTGAGCTTGCTGCCCCATCATCAGTAAGAGGAAGCTTTTGATGTAGGAAGTCGTCTTAAGGGCTGTCATATTTCTTTCATTAATCTGAGTTTTCCACCAAATAGCCATTTATGAATAATCCTTCCAAAAGTGTAATGTAGGCAGGCATGGCTGGTGAGTAAGGCACGAAGGACACGATGGGGCTTGTGCTGGGGGAGAGGCAAGGAAGCCTTCCCAGAGATACATGTCCCAGGTCCCAGCAGACATGGCCAAAGGCCACTGCCACTCGCAGGGGATGTATGGAGCACCCAATAGCAGAGTGCCTTGTTTCCTCGTCGTTCCTGGTTCAGAGCCAGGGTCGGGGCAGCTGAACC